GTAGTTGCTTTCGATCTGTTCAAGATCTAAGGAAATTGTTCGAAAAGTCCTGGGAGCCTGTGGTGAGCTCCAGCCTCAAAAGCGGGCTCAAATGTCGATATCAACAACGTCTTTGGGCTATAGACAGGGACTCCGTAAATACAATAAAAAAGAACTGGAGATCGTATAACAAAAATACACAATGGTCTGAGGAGCCTTGGTAAGCAAAATAGTTAACTGGAAATGAGTGCAAATGAGTGCAAAGACATAAAATACTGCCATCGTGGTCAAAAACCAACCTCATTAAGCACATCCTAGATGCTTGCTTCTATCGTAGACACATTCCAGTAACTCTCGTTTACTTTCAGAAAACGTATTATCTCACGCGTCATTGGAAACAAGCGGCGCCGTTCGTGGCGTAGAACACCCCGGGCGACGCTAAACGTCGCTCTACAACATTTGAAGTCGGAGGGATTCCCGAGAGCAACTTGTATGCTGACGGCTTTGCGGCAACCCTGCGCCGCTTGAGGATGGCCTTCCTTCGTTGTGGTGCTTATCTCATCAGAGCTGGTACGTACCTCGACGTCCACTCGAAAAGAATCAAGTTCAGCTGCTTCCTTAGCGGTCAGCCTCGCCAGCCAACACCTTAACCACATCTGCTTCAAATGCTGGTCAGCGCACAATGTCGGCGTAAGAACTGCAGATAAAAAATATTGTTACACATCAATTGAAAGCAAATGCAAGCACTTACAGAGATAATTGCTAAATGAAGGTCGCTCTTCGAGTAGCCGTCAAATAGGTCACGGACGTCCAGAAGTGTTAGGCCGTCGGACTGTAGCTTTTTGGAAATGGATTCAACGCATCGCACCTCGACAGCAGGTCCTCCAACGTGAGCGGACCAAGAAGGAAGAAGGTCGGCGATGTCGTCGTCCGCTGATAAGAATTCCCACAGTCGAAAGTAGCAGTCAAGCGTAGAAATTGTTGATGACCAGCAGGTATCCTGACGGAGGACTGGAACCAAATTGGACTTGGATCTATTTTACAAAACGTGACACAATTTAGTCCAATACGAAAAGTCAGTATCAATTAGTGGTACCAAAACACAAAAGACCAATATAGCATATCTCAGCTTCGCCGCTTGGTTTAGAGTGTGCAACTTTCGCATCAGTTGCTCGACCTCGTCGAGCGCAGTTTCATGAGAACGGAGGAATTCGC